GAGAGAGAGAGAAATGGTGAAATCAACACTATTAGGTTATTTAAGAGGCGGGACCTGCTAGTAAACGTCCGTCTCCGATAGGACCGAGCCAAGTGGGAAGTTCGTGTAAAGTGCCTTTCCCAAGGACCTGCAATCTCATGATTACGAGTCTGGTAGCCAAACCACTAGGCTAACGTACCGACGCAGAGGGAGGGAGGGAGGGAGGGAGGGAGAGAGAGAGAGAGAGAGAGAGAGAGAGACAGACAGAGAGACAGACAGACAGACAGTCAGGGGGAGAGAGGGGGGAAAAAGAGAGACAGTGAAAGAGAAAAAGAGACAGGGAGAGAAAAAAAGACAGACAGACCGACAGAGAGGGAGAGAGAGATGTCAGAGGGACACTGGAGAACGAGTAAATTTGCTGAAAATTAAACCGATTATTCCTTTAATTACGGTGATATTATTTTTTCAGATCTATAGAGACGTAGTAATGTATCTGCGTCTATTAGAATTAGAATGTATGTTAACTTAAAGGTCAATTAGAGGTGGGGTTGCCTAAAATGTGCAATAGAAATCACAGGCCTCCTTCTTTGTTAAAGGCCTAGTAACCTAGTGAACTAACTACAGACGGTACTACATTTTCTCATGACATGACAGCATCCCTGAGCATCGCCGGGGCAGCTATCACCGCGCGTAAGTGTTTTTGCGCCCCGCGCCCGGCGACACGCGAACAATGCATTGTTGTTGTGGAGAACCGCCACAGTCAATAGCTGCTGCCTTCTCCTCGTCTGGATTTATCTCAAAGCTCATCTGCTTACAGTCGTAGTTAGAATCCTGATGGAGAATTTTATTGCTCACCTCCGGCTATCTCTCTCTCTTCCTCACTCTCTCAAGTGTGTGGGAATTGATTTCAGTGTCAGTAACAAATGCCATTGAGTTGCAGACACTCTGAGAGCAGGCATAATAAAAGCTACATTTCACCAGGTAGCCACTGAGAAAGAAGTAGGTGCTGCGAGTACGCAAGAGTAAAGCTTTAGCCCCTTAAATATGAAGTAAGAGCTGATCACAAAGGAACACCTACAAAACACCCACGCCACATTTTAAGTTTCTTGAGATATTCCATATTTTCCCAGGATTCTTAGTTTCGGATACGGTGATTTATTTTTTATTGGGGGTGGGGAGCTATTTCCCATGTTTTGGTAACCTTAAAACAAATGTAATTATGAATAAAAGACATACTCATTTGGCAAGAGAGAGGCACTGTTGATCTGCTGCACCACAGAGGTCTGGGGACATCCCGCCACCCCACACACTGCGTTCTGACCATCGTACGTTGTGTAGTCGTGTCCGTCTCGCACCACAAAGTACACGGGGGCACCCACAGACAGGTAGGTAGAGATGTTGTGGAAGTAGTCCAGTACATACGAGTCCTGAGGGAGAGAACGTATGTGATGCTAGAGCTTTTTTATCTTTAAAAAACTCATTTCAATTTGTTTGGGGTCAAGAGAACCAAATTGACATAATCAAGCCCACAAAATACGAGTATTGGGGAAGAAAAGATACATTACGCTAAAGTTTTAAATCTGATTGAGTAAGTAGAGACACATTGGCATAATAAAGGTCATTTAGTGTAGTTTAAAAAAAAAGGGCCTAAAGACAGAGAGAATCCTCAGTGGGCCCAACTCTCATTTCAACATATTTCAAATAACTAATGGCAAGGACCTATCACGAACTTTTATCTCTTTAGAAAAAATACAAAGGCGAGTGGGAAGTGGTCGTTTGTACAGCTTATTATCTTATACATTCTTAGAGCAGGATGGACCGTACTTGGACTTAACAAAACTGAAGGTCAGCCTGACAACATTACTGTTTCCTGATCTCACTGTAGGGCAAACAGAAACATCAAAAGAAAACAAAAGAAAAAAGGGTAGTACCTACAAGTGGCACCCTCCAGCCACCCAAAACTCTTCATTTCAATGTTATTTCATTAGATTCTTCCATCTCTTTCAGGCTATGAGTTTACAATGTGTAAAGAGAAGCACATCACCATTATAACGGCCATCTAATGTAGGAAAAAAGGCAAGATCAACAGACACACACCTTTGGCATAGAGAGAGACTGGTCCAAACCGATGTTGACTCTGGAGGTCAAAGCACCGCTGGCACAGGACCAACCCACAAAGATCACCATCTGAGGAAAGCAAGGTTACACTTTTGTTAACGCACTCACATGCATCAGATCATAATGCCCTGTGCTATTCCTGTATTGCTGTAGCAATTCATTTTCACAATGTTACATACACCCCCCACCCCCCCCTCACAGAGTATAAGCATCAGATGGACTAGTCACCTGTGCCAAAAAACAAAAACCCAATACTTATGAAAAACACAATTTGTCCATTCTTATGGCTGTCTGTTATTTCCCTTCAGGAAGTAAATTTTCAGTTGCAGCTGTGACAACGAAACATGTGCAAAGAAGTGAAAATACCATAATTAATACCACTGCTGCTGCATAAACGTAATGGACAATACCTATCTCCACAAAATACACAGAGCAATAAAAAAAAAGCACAGTGGAAAATAACCTAAAACACAAAGAGCAGCGACCCTTACCACAATTGGTCGCACCCATTCCTTCATGAGAAAATGAGCGTAATATTTGCTGACAATTGTGTACAAAATTCCACTGCCATTCTTGGGACTTTCCGCATCAACACGGGCACAGCAGCAGAAATCCAGTCGATTTGCCTGAGAACAAAGAAAGAATACCATGCCCACATTCATTTGACAGTCCATAACCAGGTGTACAAGAATTTGAGGAATTGTAGTCAAGAATTTTGACCACCTTAACAACAAGCATAGACTGAGAGTATCCTAAATAAGAAGACTGAACATCAGTAAATTGCCCGGCTGAAGATTTCACTTGTTAAACCTATTCCCTAGAACTAAATATGAAGTGAGCATGTAGTTACAAGTGATGACACTCAAAAAATATATTCGGAGTGCAATGTGCTCAAATTGAATATTTTAAGCATGACGCCCCAAATTGAGGAGAAGTATGGAAAAGTAACAGCAGTGAAATGAGCGAAATGACGGTTTAGCCACTGAACAGTCTAATAGTAGCATTAAGTGGTAGCAGAAGCAAAAATATACAAACAATTGGTTGAATCAGAAGGTTCTCTGTCTAAAGAACCACTAACCATTAAGCTCTAAAATTGCAGACAAGCTACAGTTCATCTATTTACAGAATAAATTATTTCGAATTTAGCAGGGCAACCAAAACGTAGAAGTAAACAATTACCCCTCATCCTCCCCGTAGAAATTTCGGTACCAAAAATGAATTTAAACCTTCAAAGGAATTATATATACCAAGGAAAATTCTTCCAAAACTTATTTCTCTTACCTCCTCCCTCTTGGCATCCAGATAAAGGAGCGAGATAAAGCAGGTTATCTGCAGCAGGAAGTCAAACAGAACAGCCATGGCAGCGTACAGCGAGAAAACCTTCACAGCAGGCATGTCGGTCAGGGCTCCTGTATAACGCCATAAAGAGTTGTAAATCACTTGACTGATATTCAGAAAAATCATGATGGTGGCAATAAAACAAGAAAGGGAAAGAAAAAGACAAAGAAAAAAATGCTAAAAGCCCTAAATGATGATAACAATGATTAAACAAAGAAGAGGGAGAGAAAGAAGAATAATCTCAGAGCCTTATGCTAATAACTAGCTGGGCCCCCGTTCGATGAACGGATTGAGACAGAAGCGTGTTAATTGTTCCCAGAAGCAAGAAAAAGAATTTGACAAAGGAGTCCAGAAAAAGCGATGATGGGCACCAAACGAAAGGATCATGTGTAGTCAAATTTAGCACCAAGTAAAAAAAGAAAACATGAGGCTAGATCTATACCGGTCGCACACTTAAAATAGTGCTCAGTATTGCGCGACCATGCGTGATAGTATCGAACGGAAGTACTAGAAATAAATAAACCTGACGGATTTTCTAAAATTACAGAGACAGAAGCGTCGGCCTACAAAAGCGATCGGCGAAATAAAGGAATGTAGCTTTTTGCAGCAAAATTGTCTCAAAATTGAAAAAACGAAGGGTGTCATGATCTGGAGAATATTTTTACGAATCTTTTGGCGAAAACTGCATCTTGATCGATGCAGCCATTAAAAAGCCTTTGGAACAGTAAATTTCGGCCACCACAAATAGAAAATGGATGAAGACAAGAAGAAGTGGAAGAAAAAGACAAAGAATTTCTGACTTACCCAAGAAGAAGGCCAGAGATTCAGAGGAACTGGTGAGCAGCATGCTGGGGCCAACTTTTCCGACAACTCGAGCCACTAGCTGGTCAGTGGTTTCTCCATCTAAGCGCTGCTCTCTCTGGAAACGATTTAATGTGGCAAGTGTTTTATCCCCCTCTTCACACAATTTATATGATATTCAGGATTTGAAGAACAGACTCAGAAAAGAGTGGGTGGGTGGGGGTGGGGGTGGAGGGTCTGTGATTGTAAATGTTTTACACCTCTCCCATTAACATAAACAGATCACTCAGGAGGTGAGTTGGTTCGGCCCTGTTTAAGAGGGACACAATATTCCAGCTGACAGATGAAGACACCCCTGTAGAATAACTTGTCCACTTTTGAACAAAGTCATGTCTTCTACAGCAAACAGTTAAGCTGAAGAGCAAATGCCTAAGGGGTACTGAACTCCTTAGACATTGTCTCCCTCTCAGCCTGAGCTGGCCCTGACAGGCAGGGTCAAAACAAGCACCCGCCTAAAGAGTGTTGATAGGGGCTTGTTTGCTTATTTGTTTGAATAAAGAAAAGCCCATAACATGATAAAGATCACTTTGTGCTGGGGAAAATGCACAACAGATAGACAGAAACAACAGAGGGAAAGAGTTTTAGTATTAGTAAGAGTTTTACGGCACTTGCAACACAATAAGGTCATATAAGTGCTGAAGATTAGAGGTGTTACAAGACAAGAGTGTATCAAATACAAAATGGAAGGAGGGGAGATAAGGACCATAGATGTTTGATAGGAAAGAAGGAGCAAACTACACCAGAGCACCCGCCAACCACCCACAGGGAGAAAGAAAAGAAGCAGGACCTACCAGTTGCATCCTCTCATGACTCTCAGGATGTAGCATTAAAGAAAACAACACAAATAAAAAGCAAAAAAACAACCCCCCTCCCCCACCAAAAAACAAAACAAACAAAAAAACCCAAACAGCCACGCACCTGATAGGTCTGCACAAGGATAAAGATGTTGTCCACCCCGACGGCCAGCACCAGGAACGGGACCACCTCCACAATGATGAGGGTGGACGGGATGCCCAGGTAGCTGTAGAAGCCCAGGGAAGCACCCACAGACACAAGGACAATGAACACTCCAGAGAGGCCCAGCACCACCTTGGAATCCACCTAAAGAAAAGGGAGAAATAAAACAAAAGGTTAACACCACCTTGATGTGCACTTAAAGAAAAGGGTGACATAGAACAAAGGGTCGACACCACTTTGGAAAACACCTACAGAAAAGGGCGAGGTAAAACAAAGGCCCAGCACCACCTTGGAATCCACCTAAAGAAAAGGCCGAGATAAAACAAAAGGTTAACACCACCTTGTTTTTTAGTTTTTAGTAGAGGTTTTACGGCGCTCGAAACTGCATACGGTCATAAAAGCGCCAGAAGATTAGAGGTGTTACAAGAGAGTAACAAACATAAAAAAGAAGAACCACCTTGGAATCCACCTGAAAAAAAGGCGAGATCAAACTAAGAGTTAACACCCCCTTGGAAACCACTTCAAGAAAATGGCGAGATAAAAGGTTAACACGCTGATAAAAGTCACTTACAGTCCACACAAACAAAGATGAAAAACAGAAATAACTGACTGACAGAAGGAAAAAAAGGAGCTAAAACTTACAAAGCCAGCTGTAAACACCAAATCATCATCATCATCCAGTGCCAGATCTGTGACAGATATCGGCGATCATGGTTTTCCATTCATTCCTTTGCTCGGATGCTCTCAAAAAAGCTACGTTTCCCTGATCTTTCCCTGTTACCCATTTGTTTAGGTTCCTTAAGTAAGTTGTTCCGGGCCTCAATTTTGCCAGTGAGAGCTAGATGTTCAAGACCTTTACGTCTATTCAGGTGTCCCAAAAACTGCATTTGTCGTTTCCTGATTGTTTTTAACACTGAGCGTCCCACATGGGCTTCATCAAGCACTACCTCATTTGATTTCTTTTCCTTCCACGAAACTCTTAGCAGTCTCCTAAGAAAACACATTTCTGATGCTTCTATTTTATTTTCACTGTCTTTAGTAGTAAACACCAAATGCCCACACCAAAAAGAATACCGTGCTCTCAATATTCCCCCCCCCCCCCCTTTTTTTCCCAGCATGCCAAAACCTACCATGATCCTGGTGACACTGCTGAAACGGTCCAAAATAGTGATAGTCACTTACTGTCCGTAAAAATGAAGATAAAAAACAGAAATAACTGTCGGGAGGGAAAAAAAAAGGAAATAGGACTTACTTAGCCAGAAAAAAGAATGGCATGTCTCTCAGTATGTTGCCATCTCCTAACCCCTCACCCCATCCCTTTTTTGCATGCCGAACGAAACCTACTATGATCTGAGTAACCGTAAAAATGAAGATGAAAAACCCCTCACCCCACCCACAAATCCACCCCTTTTTCCCATGCTGGAACCTACCAAGATGCGGGTGACAGTGTTGTAGCGACCCAACATGACAGTGATGTAGCCAAACATGATCAAGTAACTGACGAGGATGGTCATCACGTCACTCGAACTCTCCCGGTCAATCTCGTCCTCAATGGACCTCTGACAGGGAGAAGAAAAAAAAAAGAGAGAGAGAGAGAGAGAATAATATTAATAACCAAAACAAAGTTCTTCCAAGGTTGAACAATGCTTGCGTTACCGCAACACTTTCAATGGAGCAGACTTCACATCTTTACTTTGCCCTTGACTTGTTCATCAACTTTGCTACCTTCATATCTTTTCAGTATAACCATTTGACACAGATTCTTTTCAGTCTTTACTTTGATAATAAATTGATTTCATATCTTCATTTCATTCAATAAGCAGATGTTCAAATATTTATATATACACCAAGAGAAAGAAATTTATATACAAGTTACAAATTGTAACACAAGCAAATACACTTGTCAAAATATCAAGGTAAGCCTGTAGTAATAAAAGGTCAAATTGAAAAAAAAATATGTAAAACTATCGTTTGACAAATCCAAGCCTTTTAACAATTTGAGCTTTGCAAAGAAGTTTTTCAGGCTCCACAAGAACCATTTCCTGCCCCTTTCTTTATGAGCTTTGCATTTTTCAATAAGACCATGATACAACTTTACATGAAAAATGCAGCACGACTGTCCATACGAAATCACCATTCCAATAGGTACTATAGAGAAACCCCCCAAAAAACCCAACAACAAACAAAAGAAAAACATTCTTATCACCTCAGAAGAGAAAGAAATGGTCACATCAGGGTGTTTTTTGACGTAATCCTTCATAAACGCGATGTACTCTGTCTCCCAGGCCTCGGCCATGCTATTTTGGTCCTCATCCAGGTAATTGTTCACCACAAACGTGATGACCAGAGCTTCTGCTGTGTTGTACTGGCCGTCTGAAAGAAATAGAACATTAAAAGTGTTGCTTACATTTTGTAACATTTTTTAGACAATTACAGTTACAACACAATTTTCATCCATAATTAATTAGACAGTCTTTGCTGCCCCACTATCAAATATTTTGTTCTGGTTCCTTTAAAATCGTAATATTTGATCACAACACATGCACACTATTCTGTCTCCCTTTTTAAATTTAGCCTGGATGGCAGCCGTAGCCTACTCTTATCGATTTTGGACCACCAAGGGATCTTTAACGCGCGCAACTAGCTTACAGGACCATTGAGATTTTTTGCCCTTATCTGAGATGGCTAGGTGTTAGATCTCACCTACCCTAACATCAGGGCTGAGAGGCAGCAGTAAGAAGGACCAAAGGAGCAGCAGTAGAAAGGCTGCAGAAGGAGTCCGGAGCCCATAGAAGGGGGCAAAGGAGGTGAGGGCAGAATGTCGAGAAGAAAGCAGACCACAAAATATCGTCAGACAGCAGGAATAGAGGTGAAAGGAGAAAATTTTCCCGTAACTGTCAGGTTCCAAACCCGGGATCTATTAAAAGAGAGGCGAACACAATTACCTCTAAACCACGAGAGCCCCCTGATTAGAACTCTGAATTTCTCCAAGTACAAATTTTAAACACTGAGACAACTGCTTACCTTTATATCCACCGAAGGCAACCCATGGAAAGACAGGACCTCCAAAAGTACCCATACACGGGATACCAATTGAGTCTGTGTCATTGATGGACACCGGGGAGCTGAAATAGACAGAAGAGAGAGAACATGAGTTAGATTTAGATTTAGTAGAGGTTTTACGGCGCTCGCAACTGCATAAGGTCATATGAGCGCCAAGAACATGAGTTGATGTATGTGGTGCTTTTAAGAAAAATAAAGTGCATTTAAATTAAAAGCATATTAGTTTTAAAAAATAAAATAAAATAAATATAAACACTTCTACTTGGACAACATCTGAGAAAAGCTGTGATTTTTAGCCTAAAATGTTGACTTTTTTCACACTGTGTGGAAAATATTTTCATGTCAGAATGAGATGAAAGATTTGCCTTGTCTGAAGTTAAAAATGTAGAAACAAACGCACTTTGAAAAACCCATTTCTGTCACATCTTGTAAAAAAAAATAAGCCATCATTTGAGGGAAAAAAAGTTAAAGAAAAGAAAAGGCAGAAAGAAAAAGAAAGAAGAAGAAGAAAAAAGGAGGAGGAAGAAAAAGAGGTAAATTTTTACTTTCACCCCTACACACAGATGAACAGATTTGGGGGTCAAACAGTATTTTTGGCTGCTGATCACACACCTGGCCATTAAAACTATCCCACATCAATTATGTTAAAGAAAAAAAATTAAAAACCTACTGCTCCACATCAAATTAAGGGGTAAAACAGTGTGGCATCAAATTTTTTAAAACTATTAATTTGCAAGGAATATCAAGTTGATATTTGTACAAAAGGGATAAAAATGAATAAGAAAAGGACTATACAATACCTGAACATGAGATGGTAGTGAAAGTAAATCAACACTGAAGAAGAGGAAAGGAGGAAGAGGAGGAGGAGGAGGAGGAGGAGGAAGCAGCAGCAGCAGCAGCAGCAGCAGCAGCAGAAGAAGAAGAAGAAGAAGAAGAAGAAGAAGAAGAAGAAGAAGAAGAAGAAGTTCAACAACAACAAAACCCTTACATTGCACAGAACTTGATATGGTCCAAGTAAGTGTAAGTATCCCAGCCTGTGGAGCTGGTCACATTCCGATCTAAGAGGTCATGCCTGTTCTGGAAGTAATTGAACACACTCTGAATGGTGCAGTTACTGTTGTCTGGCCGGAGGGGGGCAAAGCAGATATCCTTCAGGGTGATATTCTTGTTATCGTACAAGACCTCCAGATTCTCCACGGCCAGTTGAAGGTCCAGCATCTGAAAACGTCATCAAAAGACGGTGAAAAGTAAAATTCTGTAGACTTTGATAGGCGCACATCTATTTAACGATTTAACGAGAAAGTCCTGTTAATACGAAAGGAGTTCACTGTCCACTGCTTTATTCTGTGCATTGCAACCTTTCAGCAGATTTGTTTAACATCAAAGGCATTGTCGGCCATTTCATCAACCCCCCCCCCCCTCCCCACTAGCTTATCCTCGTCAACACAAACACCCCACCCCCCATTACAGTTGAGTTTTCTTTCCCATTTTACATGTGCAGTGGGTGATAAGAGAGTAGCTTAACAGTTTAAGTCACTTGGCGCACAATTGCGCAAAATTATCCGTACTGGTCACCTGGCGCAGTTCTTCTCCAGGCCTGATGAGAAGTCCGTTGCAGTAGCTCCCCTAAATAGGTGACCAGATGGGGCATTTTGTACTGCTGGGTAAGTGACTGCAAAGTGTTAAACTAGCAGGCCAGAGAGGCGAGACACTGGGGAAGCTGTCAGTCACCCATAGCTTAATAGATGGAATGAATGTTGCAAGACGTCACGGGCACCCCATTGTGACCTCAGTGCTTTCTTGTCATATCTCCATTTTTTTAACAGTGAAAATACGACTTCTTTTTAAGCTCACTCTTTGTTATGGTGGGTGGTTGGCGGGTGCTCTGGTGTGGTTTGCTCCTTCTTTCCTCTTAAACATCTATCGTCCTTATCTCTCCTCCTTCTTTTTTACGTTTGTTGTTACTCTCTTGTAACACCTCTAATCTTCGGCACTTATATGACCTTATTGTGTTGCAAGTGCCGTAAAACTCTTTACTAAACTAAACTAAACTAATCTTTGTTATGAACTGTTTTCACTGTTATTAAAAATGGAGATACGACAAAAAAGCACTGAGGTCGCGACATGTGGCTCCACAGACAGTGGAGACCAAAGATCCAGATGCAGTGCAAGTTCAAGTAAGTTCAAAATGGGGGGGAGGGGAGAGGCAGTTAAAATTGTCCAAGAAGGCTACCCACAATCGAAGACAAAATTGGCTGCCTAAAGACAGGTGGACACCTTAGACAGTGCCATTATACTATATTTTTTTTTAAGGGAAGGGCAAGGGAGAACAGGTTGTTTGTAAAGGTGATTGACTTGGACAGGTGGTCATTAGAACAGGTTCGACTGTACTTCTGTCTGTTTTTTGTTTTAGTAGAGGTGTTGGGTCCTACGAGGCTCAGAGAAGAACCGTACGGCCCAACAGCTATAATTAATGACAAAACAGGAAACCCCATTATTGACAGCTCCAAAATCAAATCTAGATGAAGGGAATATTTCTCTGAACTTTTGAACACCACCCAAAAGCAAACTAACAAAGAATTCCAACCCAATCACCCAGAGGAAAAAGAACCAACAATCCTACCATCACAGGTCAGACGAGCAGTTAAAACCAGCCCAAAAAACAGAAGCGCAGGAATAGATGAGCTCACCACGGAGACCATCCTAACATGTGGTGAAACTGAAATAACTTGACTCACAAAAATCTTCCAGAAAGCATGGACAGAAAGAAAAGTTCCCGGCGACTGGCAAAAAAGCGGTCATAGTACCAATCCGGAAAAAGAAAGGCAGTAAGAGAGACTGTGGAATGTATAGAGGCATTTCACTGCGAAGCCATGTGGGCAAGATGAACGCCAAGATATTGGAATGGCGAACAAGACACAAAGTTGAACCATTTCTGAGTGAGGCCCAAATGGCATTTAGAAAGGGAAGAGGATGCACCGACGCAATATTTGCCCTACGACAAATGTGCGAAAGGGCAATAGAATACAACAGGGAACTAAATATAGTATTTATCGACCAGGAGAAAGCGTTCGACTGATTGAACAGAAACAAGCTGTGGAAAGAACTCAAAAACTACAATGTAAGAGGCCAACTTCTAGATAACATCCGTGCCATTTACGAGAACAGCATAAGTACAGTAAGAACGTCAGAGGGACTCACAGAATGGTTCGAGACAACATCCGGAGTAACACAAGGTTGTGTCCTATCACCACTACTATTTATCATATATTTGGATAGAATTACAAAAGAAGCCAACACAGAACCAGACGCCCTAAATGAATTACTCTTCGCTGATGACCAAAGCCTGACACACAAAGATGAACGAAGTCTCCAACACCACACCACCAGATTAAACGAAGAATGTAACAACTACGACATGAAGATCAACATCAATAAAACAGAGACAATGAAAGTAAGCAGAAAGCCAGAACCACTCAGGATACACATCAACAACAACAGTCTCAGACAGGTCCAAGAATTTAAGTACCTCGGAAGTATATTTACAGAGGATGGGCGACTGAACAGAGAAATTGAAACACGAGTACAAAAGGCCAATAATGTTAGTTACCAGCTTACTCCACTACTGGAACATCCTAACATCTCCATGACAACAAAACTCAAAATGATCAACACCATTTTCATCCCAACACTCACCTATCAATGCCAAACATGGACCATGAAGAAGACATTAGAGCAAAGAATTACAACATGTGAAATGCGATGCCTTAGAAAAGCAGTAAACAAGACGTGGCGAGACAAAATTAGAAACTGTGTAATCCGAGAAATGGTGGGCACAAATGATGTCATGCATCACATCCAACACCAAAGAATCAAATGGTTCGGACATCTCCTATGATTACCAACACACCATCCAGCACAACATGCCTACCTCCAAAAATTCGATGGCAAGAAGGCTAGAGGGCCACCGAGAAAGACCTGGATAGATGGAGTCAGGGAAACATTAAACACCCACGGCATCCCCCTGACCCAAGCTCTCCGGCTGGCGACAAAGAACAGGGTGTCCAGCAATATTTTCTGAAAAAATTTACTACCTGGAAAAAAAAATTACTACCCAGCAAATCAAGTCCCACACCAGTTCGAAAAAGGGAGTTCATTTGCGCCATCATTAACATATATTATCATTAGGCCTACATAATATATCATATGGAACGAAAATAACACGCAACAAAGTCATCCATTTTCCAGAGGCGTGTTACATAACACACACACACACACACAAAATATACCCAGTCACAACATATGTCAGTGTTGAACTGGGGTCCTGTTTGACTAGCCTAAGTATTACAGTGAGTTATAAATTTTCCTCTCATTATTATATTATATTTTAAAAAAAGAATCCTGCTTTGAGCGTTCGGAAGGGCCTTGAACAAGAATTTCGACTGTGAAGAACCAATATGGGTGTCATGACTCATAATATTATGAACATGAAAGGCAAAAATTATTGCTCAAACCCAATAACTTGAATGGCCCCAGTAGACCCATGAAGTGAGAGAGTTGTAAGAACTGAGGGGGAGATGCAGAGACAATGAAAATTTGCCAGCCTTGAACAGAAAGCTACAATATTGTTATAATTTACTATCACCCATACAAAGTTTTTGTCCTCTGGTGTTGCCTTTAGCACCCCCACCCCCTCCCCCGAGTGCATCTTTAAAAAAATCAATAATCCCCTATCCCATTCGGTAGTCCTAGGCCTATGCTTCGCAACGCTCAGACTTTGAATGAACTTTGGCGACCCCAACAACAAACGCCGGTGCTCACGCGCGCACAGGTTCATTGACCGGTCACGATGGCGAGCCCGACAATCTAAAAATCAGACGACGCTTGTATTTTCTTTTTTCTCCCCCCCCCCCATGTGACAATGACAGCACAGAGACGAATCCGAGTACTAATTAAATTTTATTTGCGTGGCGGCACAGCGTTTAGACAGATCAATATATATATATATATTATATATATTATATATATATATATCTATACTGCACAACCTGCATGTCACAAATGTTGCGTTAGTTATCAGTCTATCACCGGCTTATTTCTGAAAGCGAAAGTAGATCTTGATTTTCCCGATCGAGCCTCGGTGTCACGCACACTTTCGCCTGCCGCCATAGCCGGCTTTTTGCGTGAAACGTACTCTCGGACGGGGAAAAGGAGAACGAATATTATATCAAAATAGCGACCGGCTAAAACGGATTCATGTACTGCGGCTAGGGTTCAATGAAGCCTGTTTTGGCTTCATCACTCCCTACGCAGATTAATTTACGACCGTTTACCAAATGTTTACTACCTTCAAGGCGCAATTACTACCATTTACGACCTTTACGACCAGAGCGCCGAATTTACGACTTTTTTACGACTTTACTGGACACCCTGAAAGAGACGTCTCTTTCTTCCCACGACACTCAAAAGGGTATAAGCGGTGGATAAAAGTAAAAGTAAAGTAAAGTAGAGGTGTTTTGGCAGGGTGGATGTCAACAGAGAAGTCCTTACACGGAATCAGACTTACTCTGCTCACCTCTCTAGCTTCAACAGCACAAAGTCTGCTTCGACTATCAAGGCACCCCTGAAATAACGGGTCACAATAGTGTGACAAACATACAAAAAAAGTAGAGGGAAATGACGATAGTAAGGATTAGGAAAGAAAAAGCAGCAGTTCCCTGTTGTAATTCAGGCACAGTTATGAGCATGACATTGTTGGATCAGCCCATTCACAATTCTACTGTGCATTAGAATGAGAAATGTCCCCCTTTTGGGAATGGCCTAACGACACTTCAGTCAGTGGCACTGCCCTGGGGGGTGGTACTTCTGTCTAACATACCTTATGCATAAAGGTCTTGTCAAACAGACTGGTGTAGTTGATAAATGGAGGAAATGGACCAGGCCCGTACTGGAAAGTAGTTTTGTTGTTGGGTCTGCTGATGATGAGCTGCTCAGTTCTGTAGAATGGTCTGTGAGAAAGGGACAAAATAAATGACATAAGTTCCTTGAACAAATGGAAGAGTTAAGCCCCATTTAGACGTAGAGTTCGCTGATCGACAAACTGACAGTTTAACCGACGGACGCTCGATCTGGGTCATCGGTAAACTGAGTTAGTCGACGAGAGAAGTCCCGTTTAGACGTACAGTTTTTTATCCGTCCTTGGAATGCTGTAGCTAGATCTAAGTCAAAAACGTCAACAATGGCTGGATGATGAAGCAGCATTTTTTGTTCTCAAATCCAAAAAAAAAACCTCTAGAAAGAGGACCATCTAAACAATGGCTACTAAAATGAAGTACCTACACACACAAATATTCTATTTCCACAATACTGGCAACGTTCAATAATGTTCGATGAACTGTAGAACAGTTTCCTTTTTCAGTAGCCCCCCCAATTACTATTCGCCAGTTTTGGTCCCAAGAGTAGAAGTAGGGGGGTTTCAGGGGGGCAGCTAGAAATCTAATAAGAATGTGGGGGGCGCACTTTACCATAATTTGATGTTTTGCTATTAGGTTTGATATCTCTCGCTCGCGGGGTGGAAACTACCGAAAAAGCGCCCAGTTTCCTTGTTTTTCCACAGGGACATTGTGCAATAGTAAAACCAATAGCGTGTAGACAAAAATAAATAAATAAACAGCACCGTCTAGATGAAACAATGGTGTGTAGCCCTCAGCTGACTCCAAAACATCTCGGCGGTACACGTCACACCAAGTGACACATTATTTGCCTTCACTTACAAAAATGAAGGGGCGGGCCGAATGGTAAAACAAAAGAAAACACACAAAAAGAATTTAACTTGGTAATTCGCCATTCAATTGCGTTCCCTGAGTGAATTGTACTAATTTTGGGTCGCTGATCACAAAAATCTTATTATTTTTTTGATTTGACGAATATTTAGGAAATTTTTGGAATGCATTTTCAACTCCGCCTGGGGCAACATCAAAGAAGCCGCTCCCTCGTCGCCACTCTTTCAGTTTGCCGGCCGGAAAATATCTGGCATCGCCAGATATCTGGTGGTTGGACGGAGAACCCTTCGATATCGAGAGGATTTTTTGTTTCACGCTCAGTTTCCACGTGAAGTTGACAGAATGCCGGCCATCCTCTCGATACCCTACAGTTTGTCAATCAGCGAACTGTACGTCTAAATGGGGCTTTAGGAGGCACAGAGAATATAACATTTGGAAAAAAAATGATGTTTTGGGATTTGAATTCTTTTCACTCTTTATCTCCATGGAGGGTAACTATGCCAGGGCCCTCTTTTGGTATGAAATCTAAAAAGTGACACATGCATCTGATCATTAAATCAAAACAAATGAACATATTTTGATAGTTCATCTTGTAAATGAACTCCTGGTAAAATAGACCTGTTTTCAGCTATTGCCGAAAAGTAATTTGATGTCGCAGGGGCTCACCGACATTGCAGTTCTGACCGTGAGCCGCTTGGAGCGGTTTGCCAGAGATAAGGAGTTTTAACTCACCCAGACCTAAAACCAATAATATCGGTATGAGTGAGCAACGCTCCAACCCTAACGCCAACAGTATTGGTAAGGAAAATTTCACTCTCAAGAACGAAAACACTACTTTCGTGTGAAGAAAACTATAGCCTAATAGGCAGAGTGACAATTTTTCGTTTGAAACAGACTATGACCAGAAGAGCAAGCCCAAATTTATAACAAAGAAAGCTATATTCGTGAATCATGTGAGGGGGTGTGAAATTTGAACAAACTTCCTTTCTTAGCTTTTTGTTTACTTTTTGAACCTGTATATAGACCTTTTTCCACAGGGTATTGCATAAAAACTATGACATACTTTGCATTCAAATTTTCAATGAACACAAAGGTTTGAAGAAAACGTGTACCAAATTTGGGTAGTATTTTCTTCAATGTTTCAAAAAGTGGTAAAAATGTCTTGGGAGAGCTGACAACCCGGAAGTGTAGACCTAGGGTTGAGTGAGTTTAAAAAACCCAAGAATCATACAAGAGCTGAATATTCAAGGCATTATTAGAGAGTAACATGCAGAGAAAAGAAAGAGGCAAGATAAGAATGAGTCATGTTTGATAAGGAAAGAAAGAGTAAACAACACCAGAGTACTTGCCATCCACCCGCTAAGAACAATTGCAGTACCGGTACAGAAAATTTTTGTAAGTCATAAAATCTTAGTGTCCATTCAAAGGAGTTTTGTTTAAACTTTTTAAAACAAAAGACAAGATCCCTCCCCTCCCCTAGTATTCACATCAGCCTGACTTGAGCTACCCTCAGGCAAATACAACTTCTTATAACAAATAACATATCAGTCACTTCCGCATGTAGGTACCAGTAAGTGTTGGGGATTAAGAGCGGGGAAGCCCAACAAGCTGCCGAATCAATAACAACTTGTTTAGAAAAATAACTGAGGCGAAATATCACGGACGTGACAGTTGTTCACTTACTTAAAGTTGGAGTCAAAGTACTCCTTCTCCAGTCTTGCACGGCTGTTGGGGCCTGACCACAGCTTGACAGGGTTGGTGGTCACCTGGAACAAACTGATGCCAGCACACAACACAGCGGAGACGATGAGCGTAATCACCTGGGAACCATCAAGATGGAAGACAATAATAATAATAAAGGGAAGTCATTTGATAATAGTTAAAATAATAATAATAATAACTGCAATTATATGGCGCATATCCATGCTCTACACAAATGTTCTCTGCGTTTTACAACTATTAGAAGGCTTAGAGCACTGTATAATGCGGAAATCCTGAACCCTGATCCTCGATGAAGAAAAGAGCGGGGAGTGTGTGATAAAGAGGAAAAGGTGGAAAAGTTTTTCATAGAAAATTATAATGACAGAAACAAAAACCATTTGTGAGAAAGGCACAAGGACAAAAGTAGTAATTTGTAATTTTAAAAATTAGTTTAGAGCTGTCTGAAAGATGAAAAGCAACACTACATTCTATTCACCACCAGATCTCATTGGGGGTGGGGTAAGAACAACGAGGAAGTCAATTAACAAAAAAATAGATATGGTAATAGGGTATAGAAAAAAAACAAGACAATCACATTATCGACAGTGACTTTAGCCATTTCATCACCAGGCTTACTTTTACTTTAGTTTTAGCAAAGATCGTACATAACAAGATTGTTCTCTCAGCCAAAACAGTGTCCACTGAAGTCTGCGCATTGCTTCAGATGGCACCGCAGTTTTTGCTTTGAAGCTCTCGTTTTGTCCAGAACAAGAATAGGAATAGCGCAAACTGTTAGTTTCACTTTTATTGTTTTTCACACAAGTAGAGTAACAGTTCGCTAAGTCCACGCTATTTCGAAGAGGGCGCCACCATATTTTGAGGATGCTTTCTTTAATTGGCTCAAAGACAGGAGTGAACTATCTTGTTTTACACAATCTTTGGTTTTAGGAAGAGTTTTAGGCACTTGCAACACAATAAGGTCATATAAGGGCCAAAGATTAGAGGCGTTACAAGAGAGTAACAAACACAAAAAAAGGAGGAGAGATATGGACGACTAATGTTTGATGGGAAAGAAGGAGCAAACCACACCACAGCACCTGCCAACCCAACCGCAGGCTCACTTTATAATCCCATCAAACAGAGTCAAGAGATCAATGGACGTGGCAGTCGGAGAAGTGGTTAATAGACTGTAAAAGGGGGAAAAAAGGCATCAAGCAACTTACGATGACTTTAATAGGGTGTCTGGTGCAAATTTTCCCCCAGTTTCTGAACAGGCGTTCCAGGAAAGACTCGATGGAGGCACCCATCCTCTCACAGCGGCCAAGCTGATCACTGCTCACGTTATCCAAGAACTCCTTCTTCCTGGCATTGCGATGGACAGCTGGACAGAATAGTAGTAATACTGTGATCAAAAATTTGGATGAGAAATGTACAGTTATTTAAAAAATCTTAACCCCCTTCCCTCCGGGGGGGAGAAGAGTAAAAGTACAGCACCCCCCCATCCACAAAATACACTTTGGCTCATCATGGGGCAGCAGTTATGTCTCTCAGGAATGGGAAACAACATGCTGCTGTGACCTTTCTGGTGTACAAAGGTGTGGGAAGTTATGCTTTACTTGTGCCAGTTTACTAATTTGACTTCCTACTAGGACAATGATTTTCTATACCTTCACCTCGCATGTCTGCAACCTCTTCATACACATGTTATCTTTGTTTTCTTATCTTAACCGGTCAATTATCTCAATTATCTTGTAGTTAAGTATGTTTGACTTGCGCGTATAAATTTCTGTTAATGGAAAACTTGTTGACCTTGACTTGAACAAAAAAAGTAGACATATATGTGTCAAAAGCATGAATTGCTGACCCAATTACTCTTGATACACAGCGTTTATAAATGAGCCAGATAACATTTTTCTGCTTAATGCTTGCGATTTCTTAAAAGACTGAGTTATCCTCAGGTGCCATTTTGAGATGACAAAGAGACTAAAAAATGAAGGAGAGCAGCAGGACGCACTGACACCGTGGCAGTCATGCTTTGCCAAGACAAGCTGAGGCCACCCATATCATTGAGACCAATTTTGGCTCAGCAAACAAGGTACATCTTGCTGCACTGGGAATGAATTGGCCTTCTCCAATGGACAGACGAGAACAGTAGCAGAAAAATGAGGGAGTACAATTAGTTAATTTTGAAAGCGTGCACTTCAGAAAATGCATCTGCAATTATCGTTGAATACTAAGAACATGGCTGTCAACTTTTAAAAACAAAAAAACAAAAAAAAGACTCTACTCACTCGGCAAGTCAAGATGACAGACATTGGTTCACTAACCTCTCCTCCCCTTCATACCTTTCAGACACAAACTATTTTGTATTCTATTAATTCAAGCTATTCAAAGTGGACATGCAGGAAAAGATCTTTCCAATTGACTTATGGGACTTTATTATCATCACAATATGCAAATCCAGTCTTATAAGTTTATAACTTTTTTTCAGCATCAACAAGTAGGCGAGGAGCAGAATTTCTACAGAACAGAGAATATGTTGGGGTATTTTTGTACGAAAACAAGACTTCCATTCTAAGACTCTCACAAACATATCAGATACATTTTTTGTTTTGCTTTTGGGTACTGGTAGGCAGTAATGAAAGACTACGATGGACATGTCCTCTGGCCTAAGCAAAGGAATGTTCTTCAGACTAAGGCTCTACCACACCTGCACCGCCAATACGTCCACAACAGCTGGATGTCGCATCATCACCGGGCTGCTCCAGACGGAGTGAGTCCTGCACCATGATGTTGTAGCAAATGCTGTAGCAGCCAAAGATCATGAGGAAGCCGGCAAACACCAGAGTGAAGGCAAAGTCGTAGCAGCTCACATGCAGGATCTCGCAGGGCTTCACTGGGGGAGATGGGGGAGGTATGGGGGAGCAAGATGTAGGGCAGTCAGGGCAGCTGCATGCTTCAGAGTCCTCTGTCGGGGCCTTGTTGCACGGCACTGTCGTGACATTCATCGGCTCAATCGTGACAGACGTGCCATTTGTCCCTGAAAATAGAATATTAGAGATATTAGTTTAGAAAAAATTCTACGGCACTCACAACACACAAAGATCACGGAAATGCTGAAAATTAGAAGTGTAACAAGAGCATAAAAAAAGGGGGGGGGGGGGGGACGGATAAGGACCAGAGATGTTCCATTGGAAAGAAGGACAAAATCACACAAAAGCACCGGTCAACCACACCGGTTACAGATACGAGCTTTTCTAAAACATAACAATATAGCCTTTGATCACTGCAAGATCACTAACTAAACATTTTCCCAACCCTACTTCCAGGCCCTCTATCCCAAAACAACAAATAAGCAATTCAACCCTCCTAGTGTCCATGGCCATAAGTTTAGTTATGTAGAGTCTCGGCTGATATAATCGCCTGTAATTTGAGTCGCTATTTCAGTTCATTGGTCCCGGTTTTATATGTCGCCAAACATTTCAACTCTTTTTCAAATGTGATCCACTTCCTCATTACATACTTTCTGAAAACGCACAGGTTTATGGCCTTTACTTCCTTGGTTTGCTTATTCTCAATAATTTTTCTTCAAAATAGGAAGAAATCATATAATTTCTCCTGAAACCACAGGCTACTTGTTCATGACACTTGGAGGATTAAGGGCCACAAAACCCATATACACCTTCCCTTATCATCTGCACAAATGATCATTACCTACTTCGCTCCTTGTGTTTTTAACGTTATCATACCGACACTGTCCAAGAGGACCACTTTTCCCCTCAACAACCGGTGGCTGGCTTTCATAATTTTGACTGTATTTGAAGATTGTTTGACCACTTATTTTTGCAACCCATGTAGAATTAACCTTTACAGAACACACATTCACTTTGTCAGTTTGAAATAAAAGAGATGGAATCAACAGAGGAATCTTACCAGGAAAAGACGTGTTGGAATTGGAAACAATAAAGTTAATGCTGAATGGCGACTGGGTGTTGTCCGTATTCCCCATGTACTTGAGCCAGACTTCCGGAGTGCACTGGTCCACATCCCTCCCACACAACAAGGAGAGGGCGCGTTGGTTAGAGCTCGGGCTCTGAACATTTTTGCACGAGTTGAACATTCCATTTGCAAAGTCGGTTGAGACCTCATAATCCACTGCAACCACAGCTTTAGCTTCAGTTCCATTCGGGAATGTGTAGTTTGCAGTCCTTGCCACGTGTGTAAAATCAGACTGTAGAACAATAATAAAAACTAGTACTCAAATGGTATGAAACTTTCTTTTGTTAAAAAATAAGCTGTGAGTGCTGTAGAATATACATGCAATGTATTGTACTAAACATGTTCCTCGTGAAGTGTAAAAAACTGATATGAGTAAAAAATGACAAAAAGACAAACAAGAAAACAAAAAATCAGTTCCAAGAAAAAGTGGACAGAAATCTACTTTAACAAGCCAATGATTTGGCAGATACAATATGTATCTACAGCTGTTAGACTCCAGAGTATGTAATTATTTAGCATATTCACTTTCTTCTTATAACAACTATCACAGGAGAGACTGAGAATGCAATTATAAATCATATTCCATCCCCAAGACTTGACAACCAGTACAGAAAATATCAAACATTTAAAACTTCATGCGACATTCTAATCAAGCGATGAAAAAAACCTTATCCTAGGAAAACACCAAGTTCTGTACTGTAAACCACAGGACTTTGATTTCCCTCACAATGACTGGACGGAAAGCAAAAACAAGTGCAGTATAAAACATTTCAGGAGATAAAACACTAAAAGGAATCTCCTATGAAGTTCTAGAGCTAGCACCAAATTCAACTCTCAGCATTTTTCCACTGCTTGTATCAAATTCTTCAATGCTGTGTAGCTTTCCTTTCATGTGTTGAACAAACTTACCTGATTCGCAGAGCAGGTGAAATGGCACCACAGGTTGAAAAAGTTGCGGAGACAGCTCGGGCATCTGAGCAGAGACTGGCGAGGAACAGCCACCTGCTTATCCAAGGTTATGATCTGAGAGTCAGCACAGCATGTCTTTGTTTCTGGACCTGGTGAAGTATAATAAAACAGAGGTGCTAATTGGAAGAAACGTGCACAGGATCAAATTGTCTAGGATTTTTAAAAAAAGGGAGGGAGGGAGGGAGGGAGAGGGAGAGGGAGAGAGAGAGAGAGAGAGAGA